TAGGTCAGGCCTTAACAGTAGCCGTGTGAAAATCGCCGCACCAACGCACGGGCAGCAGGCAGGAGGCAGTCCCCACGTGTAACGGCACTCGCCCCAGGCGACGCGCCACACGCCGTAGCGACAGAGGAGCATGCGCTGCTGCCACCAAGCGGCCGGCAGCTGGCAGCTGGCGCCCCTCTGGCGCAATTCGCCGCAGGCGCGCAAATTCGCCGCAGGCCAATTCGTGCCCTTATCAGCCGCCCCTGCGCGCACAGTGGGCGGCTCGCATTGTTTTGCTTTGTCTTGTTCTCTGCAATTTCGCTTTTGAATATCAATTGCATTTTATTATGTGGGCTTTCATTGCTTCGCTTTTACTGTTTGCCGTTTTCAGTTTTCAGTTTTCAGTTTTCGGTTTTCGTTTTTCAGTTTTCAGTTTCCATTTTTGGGTTTTTCGGTTTTGCATCGCGTGTCCGCAGGCGCCCCCCAACCAAAAAAAGTTGCAGGGAAACCAGCAGATGCCACAACAACAAGCCACGACAGCGACAACAGAAGTTTTCTTTGCCATTTGGCTTTGTCGAGCCGTGTCGTGTCCTGACATTTGCCAAAAAACAACAAAAGCAAAAAGTCGAAAAAACAAAGCCGCAGAAAAGCTCGTGCAGCGGTCGCCTGTGCCATGTCTGCTGTCTCCTGTCTGCTGTCTCCTGTCTCCAGTCATAAACAGCGCCGTGTCCTGCCCCGTTAGCTCCGTTGCCTTCCTGCCCCCTGCCTCCTGCCTGCTGCTGGGCCATGTGCATGTAATTATTTTTGCGAAAAATATTTCAATGCAAATATTGTAGAAACTCCAAGTTGCGGCGCTCCCCCTGCTCCCCCTGCTCCCCTGCACCCCTGCTCCAGCTGCTGCCACTCCGCCTGCTCCTTGCATAGTTTATGCACTTTTGCTTTTCGTTTGACAGCAATATATGTATGTGTATGTGACCGAGTTTTGGCTTAACTGTGTAACTGGTAGGCCGCCATTGAAGTTGGCTTATTCTTTTCTGCTCGCAGCCGCAAATTAATCAAAATTTTAAATTGTATTTGCCAAATGCCGCAATAATAAAACAACAATTTTGTATGCAAATTGATGTTGGAACAGTCGCAGCAGCAACAACAGCAGCAACAACAGCAGCAACACCAACGGAAAATGAGCAAACTTAATGGCCAACAAATTCGAAGTGAATTTTCTCAGCTAAATATTTACTCAACAACTGGCTGAAAGCCTTAACACAGTTAGCCAAAAACTCTTCAGCCAGAAGCCCACTCAACCCACGCACAATATGTATTTGCAATGGAGTGAGAGAAACACACACACTCAATGGGAAAGTGAGAGTGAGAGGGAAATTCGCACTGCCTAACGATAATTACACTGCTTAACATAATTACGCCTTATTTCTGTTCGAATGCGGCAGCAGCGACTCACATAGCTAGACTCTAATATTTATTCTTGGCTTTCTCTCAAAACAGAATTTTGTGAGTATAGCTGAGAATTCAAGTTTCAGCCTTTTGGCTAGATACTGAACTTCCTATGACTTGACTACAGTCTATCAGGTGTGACGATTTGATATGCCTTCTATACGAAAGTTTAAGTTTAAGAATTGAAATATACCTAGAAGTTGGTCCGTTTTATGGCTCCTTGAAAGAGCAAAGTTTAAGCTTTTCTTATAAATTCAAGAATTAATATTACACCTTAACTATTTCTAATTTTTTGTAACAATTACTTATTTTTTCATATCTATTTTGAGCTCTTCAAAGCTATCACTATCTGATAGTATTTCCCATGCTGAAAGCATAAATTCATAATATCCTTCGTTTGGGATCTAGTTTGTGGTCTCGGTGAGGCCTTCATTTCCCTAATCGAAGCATCGTCTCTTCAAATTTTGAGCAACCACAAAATGTTACATCATATTAGATTTACGCCATACTTGCTCCATTTCCCAAACAAAGCAGCTGTCTAAAGTAATCTGAGTATTCAAAGTGCAGGGATTTCTTCTGATCCCACGTGAGGCACAGGAGTATCACCAATGCAATGCCTACCCCACAGCCCAGATAATCGAAATGAACAGCAAAGACTTCACTCAGCCTCACACTTTTTAACAATTTCCTTCAGAAAACTTGTTTGACAGTGTTTTCAAACACACACACAATCGCACATACTCACACACACTCATATAAATAGCAAATGACCGTAATTACATACCCTCTCCATATGAAGACAGCATACGTACGCAGACAGGGTATTTGCTAGTCGAGCTACGCGAATTTCTTTTGCAATTTGAAGTCAAATGTGAGCCGAGAGCTGAGAAAAAGGCGCAAGGCAAATTCTCGCGCTCTCTGCAACTTTTGCGTTAACATTATTTTATTTAATTAGGCAAATGTATGCAAACCCACACACTCACACTCACACACACGCACACACACACACATAGTTAAAAGTAGCACAACACATGTTGTTGTAATTACAACGAAGTTTAATAAAGATGCCTTTGCCTGTGCCTGTGCCTGAGCCCGGGCCTAGGCCTCTACCTCTGCCTCTGCCTGTGCCTACAGTGCGTATAATTGTAAATATACTTTAAGCACAATGTGTGTGTGTGCACGTGTGTGTGTGTATGTGTAAAGGTAGCAATGTATTTTAATTGTTAGCCATAAAACTTTAAAGGCATTTTGAAAAATTAACTACCCAACTTAGGGCACAAGTGTGCTTTAGCGTCAACCGAACTCTACCGAATTTCCCGTGAGCTAGACGAGTTTCGATACATTTTAGTATTATTAAAATTTATTCCTCAGCCAACTAGGCGTAAAAGTGACATACATACCTGTTAATAACTTATCTATATGCATCGAAAATCGTTCATATCAAATATCTAATTAAAAGTGAGTCAGAGAGAGAAAGGGGGAGAGTGCCTTAGTCGGACGTGCTTGACTGGAAGGCAACCGGAACCCATCCTACACACAGATAATGTGCTCGTCAGTCTGAACTTATTTTAAGCACTCATAACATTCACACACACAAGGATATTCTAGAAACTTACACATTGATGAAGCGCTTTACCATGGGAAATCTCGTATCTCATATTTCTAATAGAGATTTCAAGAACAACAGTAATTGCCACAGTATACGTCTCTAGCATCTGATATTGATTTTGCTTTTCTAAACAAAAGCAGAAAACATCGAAATCTGCGTACTAATCATAGAGAGCTCCATGGGATAGTCAAAAAAGCTACAGCTTCTGGTCTTCTAGCTAAATAAAATCTTAACATAAATTATTATCAACATAAATTATGTTAAATGAAATGAGTGATATGAAGAGTGATGGGAATATGAATATCAAAATTCAGATATATATTAGTTGAGGGTTAAAAAATAGCTGCGTTCGTTCGGACAGACAGACAGGCATATGAACTATCAGACGTACGGAAAAACGCACGGACGGAAGATATCCTTCCGGCTGGTTGTCCTGATACAGAATATATTTACCGATTATCGATTATTAATGAGTGATTATTATAATTATAGGTAATGATAGGATAAGAAAATAGCAATATTCGATCATCAGTTGATTTCATATCTTTAGATTAAAATTTATAAAAATCAACAAAATTCTAAGTTTGATTTTGATAATACTTTTTCTTTATTAATATTTTTTATTGAATTTGTGTTTTATACATTTTTTTGTTTCTTTTTCTTTTCTTTTTTGCATATTATTTTTATAAATT